TCTTATTATTGATATTTCTGTAGAACGTTCAGGTAAGGGGCTGTTACAGTATCAGCAAACGAATACACTAATGCCAGCATACCCAGGTGTCCGGCATCGATTCGGACCGATGTTGCAACCATCGTGTCGCTGCCAATGCTTCTTTCATAGCAAATCATCCAGTGCGAGACGTTTTTATAGTAATGGAAATCACACTTGGCGTCTTTCTCCGTATCTATCTATCTATCTATCTATCTATCTATCTATCTATCTATCTATCTATCTATCTATCTATCTATCTATCTATCTATCTATCTATCTATCTATCTATCTATCTATCTATCTATCTATCTATCTATCTATCTATCTATCTATCTATCTAGCCATTTACGTCTGACTATACTCATGATCACCCCTTAACTATGGATACAGGAGAATTAGTAAGTGAGAGTAAGATGCTCATAAGAATACTAGAAGGTAGTCAAGACATCGTTAATGTCACATTCTTGTCGCTTATGACATCAAACACTTTCCAAAAGGACTTGCACATACCCGGGGGCAGGTATGCGTCACCGTTGTGCATTGATTGATATGTGGGGTTTAACGTCCCACAACCACCATATGATTATGAGAGACGCCGTAGTGGAGGGCTCCGGAAATTTCGACCACCTAGTGTTCTTTAACGTGCACCCAAATCTGAGTACACGGGCCTACAACATTTCCGCCTCCATTGGAAATGCAGCCGCCACAACCGGGATTCGATCCCACGACCTGCGGGTCAGCAGCCGAGTACCTTAGCCACTAGACCACCGTGGCGGGGCTGTCACCGTTGTGCAGGCATGTTTCACAGGCCATAGACATATTATATCTACCCAGGAACGCGAAACAACATATGGGTAATATAACGCTTGGGCATTAGAAAAAAGCTGACATAAGCCGCATTGACCGAATGAATACATTGCACAAAATAAATATAAGTGTCCCAGCAGTAATGAAACCATAGCATTGTGCGTGGCACAAAAGTATTCTACCACAAAGCCATTCCAGGTCCCCACAATACTTTGATGATAATTAAGATGATATGTAAGGTTTAACGTCCCAAAACAACCATATTATTATAAGAGACGCCACGCCTTAGAGAAGGGCTCCGGAAATGTCGATTAGTTAGGGTTCTTTAACATGCCCTGAAATCGAAGCACACGCGCCTGCAGCATTTTCCGCCACCATCAGGCCGCAGCCGTCGCAGCCGAAATTCAATCTCGCGAGCTGCGGGTCAGCGCCTTATCTACTAGACCACCGCGGCGGGGCCCGAAATACTTTGCGAATAGGCCCTAATGTTCGTCAAACGTTAATTGTGGTTGTAGTGCTTGCTATAAAATTTTATATAGATTACTTATGTACTCTATGATACAGCCGTCAGGTCAGCTTACAGTTGATTGTACTCGGCCGCCATTCGCTGAGGTTATTTATTTAATACTGTTGAAGGCCACTATCCCCATTAGACCCAGCACAAACAACACCACGTCATATGAGCTTGCCGCTGCCGGTGTTGCTAATATTCATGTTGGTTTTGGTATCGTTACGAAGCTGCAAAATACTGCTAATATTGTGAGCGCTGGCAGTACTTCATCTTCATATGTATAACCAAACCACTGTAGTGGTCTCCATCAATAAGAGAGAGGCCAAGCCGAAAGCCGCGAGTCTTAGGGTGGTGTACCTCTTGTGAAACCCTTAGTGGCCTGCTGTCGCGTCGTCATGAAATGCTTTTAAAACTTGCAGCCGAAGTGAGCGAAGAACAACCGGGAGCCATTTGTTACCTGAGAGAATGGTGAAATCGGCCGATATAATGTGCCGTCTTGAAGCTAGAGACGTGCAAGCTGTCGTCTTAAGCGGCCGTTTAGAGCACGGGATAAGCCAGTCAGCCGATGAATGATATTGCTGCAGTAGATATCGGCATGTTGGAGCTTGGCGATATTTGTAGGCGAAAGATGGTCCGCTGAGGCAATGAACTCTTTCGAACCAACAGCCATCTGCTTGGTCACAATTTCCAGCATAAGCGGCTGTCTATCGTATGTGTGTGCGTGGAGTTGTACAAATATTGGGCACCACTTCATAACGTTACGCTCAATAAAAAAATAAATGACATTAGCTTTGCATCAACATGTTTTGAATACTATAGATTCCTAAGAAACCTGGGATCTGCCGCATTTTTTCCCCTCTGCAGTTACGATGAGCCTTATCTCAACCTGCAAATAGCCTCTTCCACCGACGCGTTCTTTTTTGATCTTCCCGTCCGCGTCCGTCTCTGGGGCACTGTAGTGAAGTTGCTCGGCCTCCGATCCGAAAGTACAGTGTTTGATCCCGGTGACTGCTGTAACATTTTGACGAAGACGAAATGCCAGAGGCTCGTGCGCTCTGCGAAGTGAGTGAACGTTATATAGCACGAGATAACCATGATTTCCAAAGCCTTACTAAACCATGTATAACAACGATGTCGTGCTTTTAAGCAAAACCACCAGGTATGAATATTTTGTATTAAGGTGAAGGCTATGGATGTTTTATCCAACACGTAAATAGAGCTCGGCATTGTCAACATTAATGATGAAAAATTATTACGGGAGGATGCGAGAGAATATTGAAGTTTGCTGCGTCAATTTGACGTAACAAGCCAACATCACACGGCATAATCGCTTGCCTAAGGTAGGCGTTTCATAGAGACAGTACCAAGTCAAGTGATGTATGCATTGAGAAAATTTTATTGAAAAAAAAAACTGGCCCCGTATCTGCATTTTATACTAGAATGTCGTCGAATAGTCTTGCGTCTCGAGAGAGTGAACAAATTGCTTATTTGATGTTCTGCGCGGGAAAATTCGGCAATGTTATACTGGAAGCGCTGTGTTAGAGTGTCTCGAGCGTGCAACGGAAGGTAAACGAGCGCATCAAGTCACGTCACACGTGAAACATGAGCGCTATCTAGCATTTTTCTTGGAAAACGAAGCGAGCGTGCCCTGCGCGCCCGTCTCGGATGTTATAAGGTGTAATGCGCGATGCGACGAGTAGGTGCAACCACCGTGTCGTCATAGCAAAGCGTTGGAAACATTTGCCTTTCGTGCAAGCGTTGCCTGGTAATCGCAACGTTATAAACGCTATGGTCCTGATGATTACTTATGTATGCCGTTTCTACTAAGATGCACACATACAGAATATTGACGTGTTTATGATGCTTCATATATGCACAATAATTTTTTTTTAATTGACAATCGCACAAATACGAACGCTGAATCTTGAGCAATATTTGCGGGCACTGCGGATGGGGTCAGTCGTTCGGAGTATCGTTTGGTCACTTGAATACCGTTTGGAGTATCCGTTAAAAGCGGACAAACAGACAAATGTACAGACAGACAGACAGAAAGACAAAATATTCTGAGTGAAAAGTCCCCAAGAAAGACTATCGTCTCTAAAGCTGTGCTGGTAGTGGTAAGGTTTAGCCTTTCCGCCACTTCCGGGCCTGCTGAATGATACAAACTTGACCGTCAAGTTCGAAGCTAGCCAGAGCGTCTCGCCAACGCGTCTCAAAGAGGTGCGGGTTTTGTTGATCAATGAGCCATGTAGCAAGTATACATCTTCATAAAATCTGTTCTACGCCTACGTATTCATGTTTACATACAATACAGCGAGCGTCGGGTAATCGCCTCGGATATATGCAGTTGAGATGCACTGGGTTTTGAATGGTTCATGTTAGTATACGTTTTCAGTCTACTTCTTGTGACCTCCATCTAGTTTTAAATGCGAAGCATTTCTTAGCGAATTTCAGCGACATTGAGCGTATCTATCTATCTATCTATCTATCTATCTATCTATCTATCTATCTATCTATCTATCTATCTATCTATCTATCTATCTATCTATCTATCTATCTATCTATCTATCTATCTATCTATCTATCTATCTATCTATCTATCTATCTATCTATCTATCTATCTATCTATCTATCTATCTATCTATCTATCTATCTATCTATCTATCTATCTATCTATCTATCTATCTATCTATCTATCTATCTATCTATCTATCTATCTATCTATCTATCTATCTATCTACTAGCTGCCTACGACTTTTAGCTCTCCTTGCCGTTTAAATAACGGTATCGATACCAAACTTGGTATGGCATAACATGACTGTATGAAGAACATATTTGACTGGTCATAACAAAAAGTCCTGATGTGTATGTCATAAATATCAAGATTTACATTTCATGGTCCTGCGGTGGTTTCCTTTACATGGCATGTTGCAAAACTGGTATGGTATGACATGATTGCATGCTAAACACAAGCGACAGATCCAACATGAAAATAATGACATGCGTGTCATGTAACAACATGATTACATGCCACGCTCATGATGCGCTCGCGGCTGTTTCGCTAGCTTCACTCATGCGAAATTTGGTTTTACGGGACACGAATGGAGGACAAAGGTATGACACTGGTGCAAACATGATAAACATGAGATGCGTGTCATGTTTACTCACCATTTATCATCATTACTGTACATTTACTCCGTGTATATCTGTGATTTATTTTTACAGTTTTACAATTTAGGCAGCATATCCAAAAAAAGCAGCATGCTCCGGGAAACTTCATTGCTTCCTGCACGTCCACTGAAACTTAGGGTATCTGATTTCGAGATTGCGCGTTTCTATATTTTAACCTGTCATTTCAATTTCAGTTCCTTGCAGTCATGCTTCGCTTGACCAAAGTATTTGAATCTGCAGTCTGCTTCTTCTGTCCATGTCCCTTAGGAGTGGTATGCATACTAATGGCGTACGGTTGTGCCAACAATGATGCTCTTTTTGTAATCCCACACTAGTGGTCCTCCCCGATGAGGGCTGCATGTATATGTTACTTATCCCCTGCCTCAGAGACAGAAGCTTACTGTATGAGAGAATCTGTCCCATGTCGTTAGCATGAGGTATTTTCAGACAACAGAAGTTATTACGTTCACGCAGGCGGCCACTTACTGCATATTTCGTCCAGTCCGTTAGGGCAATCAGAAATGCCATCACATCTTAGCAAAGCTGGAATGCAGGTTGCACCATCTCGGCAGCTGAATTCGCCACGAGGACATTCTGGTGATGGGTTCGTTGTGAGTGGGGTTCCTGGTTTTGTCACACCTTTTTCAGTGACATCTTTGTTAGAATGGTTGATTCTTCTGAAAAATAGAAGCATCACAACTTGTTTTTAACACTCAAGAATAACAGCTTGACCCTATCGACAAGTACAGTTACTACCTGTGATATTTTTTTGAAAATGAGGCCCTACAGTTATTGAATGTTTCCATTTTATTAAATAAGCAGCCGGAAGGCAGGTCCCACTGACTTAGATGTGCTTATGCAGCATGGAAGAATTCATATAAACATTATTTTATGAACACAAGGGCTTTACACTAGAGTTCCAAAAGACCCTTCTCTTAAGTACTTTTGTCGCAACAAAATAAGTGTAATTACAAATTTCGGCAGAATTCCCATATTTAAAAGTAACGTCATGGTTCGATACAAAACTTCAATCGCTATTTTACGAAACGTGCCACAAAAGCGGTTTATCACGAAGATTCACATAGGTAACTTCAAAACTTGAAACGTTAATTCTTCTCGCAATACAGTTCAGCTCAGACACCCCTACCGCCTTCGCGTAAGCTCCCACTTAAAGGGGCCCTCCAACACTTTTCACTACTTCACAGTTTTAGGATGTTTTTCTAGCTGGTTGCGTACACTGATGGCTTGAGAGATAAGTGCCGCAAGAACAGCGATAGGGCCCACGCTGTGCAAAGTTATTCAGCGTATATAGAGATATCAAAATACATTGAAACGAATTCTTATCCTTAACTTAGTTTTTTGAGGGCTCACCTTACGTTGTTTCCCTTGCCCTCTGACGCCGGAAGGCTGCCTAATGAAATGAACTGAAAGCCCTACCATATAGGAAGCTCGCATGAAATATTGTCTGTTATGTTCAGCGTATAAGGATGCTGTTGCGACGGTAACAGACAATGTGGTAGTTGAAGAGAGAATGACACGTGCGAGACGAGCCATCTCGCTGAACGCTTCTATATAGTTTTGTTGCTTTACGGATTTTTCTTTTTGCAATGACATATATATATGAACGCTCTTACATTTTTTTCTTTTGGTTTCTTCAAATAATGGTGCCTGGAGCACCGCCAGCGCCTTTCCTCCAGCACATGGCATTCGGTGCATTCTTTGACCAGCTTTGAAATTTTCAAGCTGGAAAAGTCGGAGAGCATTATTCTCTTTCGCGCCTGAGCGAAAAATCATGGTAATTAAAAATATATCAAAAAGTAATCTCTATTTCGATGCAATGCTGCCATCACCTTTATCGTTACATTCATCCAAGCATATGGCGGCAACCTTTCGGCACCATTTCCGCTCGAAGTAGTTCTGGCGATTGCCACTAAGGGTTATGCAGTCGGCACCGATGTTTTCAAGCGTTATAGGGCCCCTTTAAGTTCAGGGTTGTGATCTGAACTGAGAACTGCATATTCAACCATACCTCTGCAACACTCTTGTTTCTTCACGCGCCTGTCTTCTGAGAAAGTGCAAATTAAACATAAGTAGAGAATGACCTAATTATTTTAGGTCTGATGGTTTCATGTCACCAATTTCCAACGGCGTGGGTGCCCTCACAAGCGACTATAACTTCATTCCGCCGAGCACCAGGCTGGAAGTGCGTTTGTGCCTATTCATAGGCACATGACGACAGTCATTCTCTGCCTCCCACAGCAGCGGCTGGTGCTCAACTATCTCATAAAGGCTGTGGTGGGTTAAGGTATGTCCAGGGGTCTTTGCTGAACCTAATGGGACTACCTTTCAATATGTGTACTCAGAAACGACCTATAGTTACTTTCCGTTTCAGCAAAAAAAAAAAAAGCTCCTGTATCAGGATCACTTGTGAGTTTTGATTATTGTCTTCATTTTGCTTCGTATCGAACTTAAGCTCTGTTATAACTTATACTTTGATTATAAAATGACATGAGCATACGTCGCAAACACAAATCACAGTGCTTTGTGGTAGTTCATTCATTCGTACCTGTCTGTCGTCATATTTGCTGCCTGTCGTATTGTTCTTTTTCACACGAATTTTCAAAATAAACAAGTGTCCCCCTTCATACAGCTGCTTCTTCCGTTCAATGCAGAACAGTGACCCAACAGTTGGCTCCGCAGTATTATCCCTAACTACAGCCTAATAGATGTTTCGACATCTATTCGATACCCATTAATTTTCACGCTGAGGCCCCATGTCATTTATGAGCTAAAGCTCTGAAAGTTCATCTGAGGATTTTTTCTCGTGTGTGTGTGTGTGTGTGTGTGTGTGTGTGTGTGTGTGTTCATGCGTGAGTGAGCTCCCATGATACCGTCTATGTGTAAACAAATTGCCGCAGCATTCAGTTATCATCCCTACCATCATAACAATCATCAACATGATGAGCCTGATCAAATGTGAACAGTGCAGGATCAAAACCTCTGCAAATCAACCGCGTGTTGCACTCTGGCTGTAGTCACGTTATACTTCCAAGCTTCTACATTTTAACTGCTCATTTAACACATTTCCTTCCTCTGGTGCATTTGTTTTTCTTTGTAATCAATTCCAGGTGTTAGATCTCAACGGTTGTGAACTGATATAGCAATGATCGCCTGTCTAATAGGCATGTGAGCACTATTCATGTTTCGTGATATATGGGAAACTGTATAAATAATTGTAGTGCGATCTACGTCGCCAAATATAGAGGAAAATTAAAACATTTCTTTTATAATTAGGCAAATAGAGTAAGATGGGAAACGAAGGGTACTTTTTTTGATGTATTGTCGTGAGCAGACAGAAAAGAATAAGAGGATACACATATATAAATTGTCTCTCTTGTAGACCTCTCTGCGACAGCTTTTTCCATTTAAAATAACTACTTCATAGCGTTTCCTGGCTGCTCCTTGAAAGGACAGCCAAGAGAGAAACATCAAGAGCTGCATCACCTGTGTTTGGTGGGCTCATAGTTTGCTCTGTGGATGCCTGCTGAGGAACATCTGACGATGCTGCGGAACTTGTGGTGGCTACAATAAAAATTTACAAAACACATAAATATAGCATCGTGAGAAGAGCGCGGGAAAGTGACCAGGGCTTATGAAAACGAGGTGAATACAAAATAAATGAAACTTCTAGCTGACTCAGCACAAGAAAATGACTTTATATAGCACATCTTTAAGCTCAAAAAGGTGCGTGTTCTGACTTTTCCAAAACAGCAACCAATTTAGCGTCGTCACTTAAGGTCGGACTGCTTTTCTCGTTATTGCCCACTTTTTTTGCTCGGACAATTTGGTAAACAGCTATTCATTGCCTCTTAAGGATACTCGAAGATACGCGGCAAGTCAGGATAAACGAATAAAATATCCCGGCTTATAGAGGGCGCGTAAAAGAGAACACATGATGCCTCGTGTTTTCGCATATGTTACATTGTCTGTAGGTTTTTTAAGGCAGCTCGCCAAGGCACGCTATACCTTGTAACCCAATAACAGCGTTAAGTACTATATTTAGGCCCAATGTGCTTTAAACAGGTCCTGTATGCTACCTTAAGTTGCAGCCACATTGAAATTCACCGCACAAGAGGAAGCACATCGATGAGAGCTAATGCAGTTGTAAGTTTTACGTAAGCAGGTGTCAGTAATTCTTTTCGAAGCAGAACTTGCCTAATATCGCAATGAGACTTTGACATATCAGTGAGCCTCTAGCGAATTGTTCTTAAAATAAACAACCTAACGTTGTTTCTCATCAATTTCTTTCTTCTAACTTAATTTTATTCGTTATACCAAAATTAGGTAATGTGATGAAAAACGCTTGCATGAAACAGCATAGTAAAATTCTGATTACGTGCTGAGCCCTAGAATTATTTATGACGCGTATGTACGATATTATTTAGGTGTCTATATGCATCACAGTCACTTTCTTTGGTCAATTAAAAATCTAGGCTGTTTTTCCAGATTCCTAATTTAACTGTTTTGCTCATGCTACAAATTGAGTTATTAATAAGATGGCGGGCACTTTTACCTTCTGATGCAGTTTCACACTTGCCAGAGCGCACATAAATGTCATCTATGGCAACGTTACCAACAAATTTGCCAGCCGTCGCTGTGATCACAACCTGGGCATAAATATGAGAAAATTAGCAACAGTGCAATGAAAATCAATGCTTTCAGCTATTCTGCGAATGTTTATTAAAAGCGCCACACTTCGCTTTCATTCACCTGAATATTTTATATAGTAGTGAATTCAATCTTCTTGAAGTACTCTGCTGCACTAGTTCATAAGAAAGAACCTTTCGCATATCTCGAAAATAGTTCTAGCACATCTTTTAAAGAATGCTCCAGTCGTGAAGAGGTGGTTCACAATGACGAAAGAGGAACTAGTGCAAACTTTGATGAGGCGTAAAATACAGAAGAAATGCTCAAAGAAGGTTTTACTACTAAACTAAGTTTGAATAAAAGGGGCAGGATTGATTACGAGAATTTCGTTGTTGAAGCGAAAGGAACATCGCTTTACGTTGTAATCCAGGTAAACTGCGGTAAACTCCGCCTTACTATCACTGTGGACCGTAATACAAATGACACTTCAACCATCGTAACAAGAGAAGCGACCATCAGGTGCCGTAGCGTGTCATGTGCTAGGTGTTATTGCGACGAGATTCCCCTAACGCATATACTCTCTTCGATACTTTCTTCGCTATGGGCCACTTCCGAAAACTACACGCGAGGTCTAGCAGACGCTTGGCGGGCCCTCGCTTGAACTCTATCAGTTGTCGCCTTGAGGGTAGCATGTGAAATGTTCCGTACACGCTCTAACTAGAGGCTGACTAATAATCACTGAAAGTGGCAGACATTCACTGAATTTTGGCATTTGTACTATAAAAAATGTCAATTAATAAAACCATTGAAGAAGTCACATACTACTTTTGTTGCGAGGTTGTTTTGCTGATTTAAGTAAGCACAAGTTGATGAAAAATTCTTTTGACACCGTGAAAATACTGCCACCCGTGTATCTATTCACTTTCACCCATAAGTTTTGCAATGCCCACTGCCGACTTCATGGCAATGTTCGGGCAGCTTCGCTGAGATTTGAGATAAATCTGGTAATATGACGCACACAACGCAAATAGTCCAATTTTGCGCTGAGCCCCAGTGACAACGTTCCAAGATTTGATGGCATGCGTATATATTGTCACAGGTAATGGGTATGAGCCATCAACTGTAGGTGGAATCCCTTGGAAGTGAAGAATGAAGAGGGCTTTTGCTTCCTGGTCTGAGGGCAAGAAAGACGTCGATTCGTCGCTGTCTGTTATTACGTTCAGCGGCACTGGTGGAGGTGCTGGGTAAATGCGCCTCGGCTGCAGATTTTCAGCCGACACACCTGAGCTACTTGGAGACAGCTACAGCTCCCACGGCAAGAAGCAGTCGCCGCCTGCGAGGACTCTCTCCCGAATACAGTCCCCTCTCTAAGACGAGATGGCAACTTCAACTACCAACCAGGCGAGTCAAACCAACGACGCCTATTCTTTTCTCCCGCATGTTTTTCATGTGCCGCAAACACCACGCTCATTTCGTGGAGATATTTATGAAGATGTCGATGACTGGCTTGACCACTTCGATCGAGTTGCCAACATCAATGAATGGAATGAAGCTCGCAAGCTGCGGAGAGTTTACTTTGCGTTAGAAGACTCTGCCAAAACGTGGTATGAGAATCACGAGGGTTCCTTTGCGACGTGGCATGAGTTCAGCCGACAGTTTCGTGATGCGTACCGCAGCACTGAAAGGAAAGAGAGAGCGGAGCGGGCTATCTCGTCTCGGAACCAATGACCCAACGAGAGAGTTTCGATGTTTGTCGAGGACATGCTTCGACTCTTCAAGCGTGCTGACCCTGCAATGTTCGAGAAAAAGAAGGTGCGGCATTTAATGCATGGGCTAAAAGAGGAGCTCTTCGCCGGACTCGTGCGCAATTCACCGACGACTGTGGCAGAGTTCATAAATGAGGCAACCACAATGGAGCGTACTCTCCAGTATCGGTCGTCACAGTACGAACGCCACGATCGTGACCCCTGCTGCATGCTCTATCGGGGCTGACAGCGAGAGGCATGCCCTCGCCGAGTTCATAAGAAGCGTCGTCCTGGACGATCTGCGCCAACTCCAAGCAGCGGAACCCCAACCACCCGTAAGTGCTCTCGCAGACTTAATCTGAAATGAGATCCGACAGGTGGTCCCGCCACTCGCGCCAACAAGGCCTGGAGCCCCTGTGCTGACTTATGCGGTAGCTCTGCGATCTCCTGCACCACATGGCCCTGATCCCACCATGGGGACAATGGATCAGGCTAGCCATCGATTCGAGGGCACCTCTTCGACTCCGCCACCTTCCTCAAGGTTTCCGAGTGCACCAACTTATCGTCCGTCTGAATCGCGGCAGAACGCCACAAAGGCCAGCGTGTGGCGTACGACCGATAACCATCCACTCTGCTACCACTGTGGCGAAGCGGGTCACGTCTAATGTAACTGCCAGTACCGCCAACTTGGTATCCGTGGCTTTCACCCTGATGCTCGGTGTTCGCGTTATGGTGAGCGTCCCCACGACATCGAAGCGTACCTTACAGGCCAGCAAGCTCCTCGCCTTGGTCAACGCCCCCAATCACGATCACCATCACCTCGCCGCCCCACGTCACCTAGCATTCCCTCGTCATCTTATGATCCTTTCAGAGGCCGGTTGACCGAGTCCTCACAGGGGAAACTAGAAACCGCAACTTTTTATCAACGTTGAATGTGACCAAGACGTCCCCGAGGCTGTAATTACAGAAGAAAATTTGTCTCTACTTTTTGCACAACAAATCTGCGTTGCCCGAGGTATTGTTCAGCCCAGTATAAAGCAGGCTTGCCTATTTGTCACGAATTTTAGCGAGGAGTATCGCCATCTTACAAATTACACTGCGATCGCATACCTTCAGGATATTGCCGACGTCCCTTGTCCCTCAACATTATCTGCTCTTTCGTCGTGCGACGATTCCGCCATGACATTCGCAAGCACTCTCGACGTAAACCAGGGTCTACCGTCCGCACAACGGGAACGTCTTTTGAAGCTACTCGGCTCATTTCGGGACTGCTTCGCTGCGACTTCGAAAGTTAACCAAACACCGCTTGCCAAGCATCGTATCATCACCGAGCCTACCGAGAGACCCATTCGACAGCATGCCTAGAAAGTCTCGCAAAAAGAACAAGACGTTATACGCCAACAGGTCCAGCAGATGCTCAAGGACGATGTCATCCAGCCATCGACCAGTCCCTGGGCGTCCCCTGCTGTGTTAGTAAAGAAAAAAGATTGGTACCCTGCGATTTTGCGTCGACTACCGAAGGTTGAATAAGATCACGAAGAAAGACGTGTATCCTTTACCACGATTAGACGACTCGCTGAACCGCATTCGCAATGCTCGTTACTTTTCTTCCATGGATCTACGCAGCAGCTATTGGCAACTATCTGTTGATGAGCGCGACTGCGAAAAGACCGCCTTCATTACTCCTGACGGACTCTACGAGTTCAAGGTCCTTCCCTTCGGCTTATGCTCGGTGCCAGCTACTTTGCAAAGAATGATGGACACCGTTCTTTCTGGGCTAAAATGGCAATCGTGTCTTGTCTACCTTGACGATGTGGTCGTCTTCTCGGACACGTCTGAGCAGCACGTCCAGCGCTTACAGGCAGTTCTTCAGGCGATTCGAACATCTGTATTTTCTCTCAAACCTGAGAAATGCCACTTTGCATTCGAAGAACTGATATTTCTTGGTCGCGTTGCCAGCCACGTCGGTATACACCCAGACCCCGAGAAAACGAAAGCTGTTGCCGCATTTCCTGTCCCAATGAACAAGCGCGACCTCCGCCGATTTCTGTGACTCTGCGCATATTACAGACGCTTCGTCAAAGGCTTTTCTAAAATCGCTGAACTGCTAAATGAACTTACGAAAGACGGCGTACCGTTTGTTTTGGGTCATGATCATCATCACGCCTTTGACACGCTACGAAACCATCTCCAAGCCCCACCTGTACTCGGTCACTTTGACGATAACGCTGTCACAGAGCTACACACGGATGCCAGCAACGTCGGACTTGGAGCTGTACTGGTTCAATGACAAAGTGGCGTAGAGCGCGTGATTGCCTATGCAAGTCGAACACTATCATCTGCAGAGAAAACCTACTCTGCAACAGAAAAAGAATGCTTAGCCATTGTTTGAGCTATAAAAAAGTTTCGCCCTTATTTATACGGTTGACCATTTAGGGTAGTTAGCGACCACCATTCTTTATGCTAGATCGCCAACCACAAAAACCCTTCCGGTCGTCTAGCACGCTGGAGCCTTCAGCTGCAAGAATTTGACGTTACAGTCATTCACAAGTCAGGACGCAAACACACTGATGCTGACTGTCTCTCACGTGCGCCAATTGGAAGCACGAACGCGGACGTTGAAGAGGACGATACATTCCTTTCCTCTCTATCAGCAACTGACTTGGCTCGACAAAAAGGTGACGACATGGAGCTAAGCCCGCTGATTCACTACCTCGAAGGCCAAAAACGCAGCCTTCCTCGAAATTTCGCACGTTCAGCTGGCCTCGTTCTGCATCAGGGATGGAGTCTTCTATAAGAAAAATTTCGACCATACCCAGTCTACTTACCTACTGGTAGCGCCGACCTCGCTTCGGGACAATATTTTACATGCTTGGCACGAAGAACCATCATCCGGACACCTTGGCTACACGCGCACATTGGAAAGAATTCGCCACTTATACTACTGGCCCCGCCTCACGATGACAGTCAAGCAGTACGTCCGCACATGCCGTGACTGCCAACGCCATAAGACTCCACCTGTCCGACCAGCAGGACTACTACAGCCTATCGCCATGCCGAAGACACCATTTCATTAAATTGGCATTGACTTGCTCGGCTCGATTCCCACCTCTTCGTCTGGAAACCGGTGGATTATGGTTGCCTCCGATTATTTAACGCGTTACAGCGAAACAAAGACCCCGCCCAATGCTACCGCAGCCGAAATCGCACTGTTTTTCATCACCAGCATCGTACTTCGTCACGGAGCGCGAGCTGTGATGATTACTGATCGTGGT